TGGTCGAATCGGTGATATAATAAAAAAATAAAAAATAATTATTAATGATGATAAATAGACTAAAAAATTAAAATAGTTATAAAAATAACATGTTTAATATATATTAAATCAAATAAAATTATCAAGCCTGAATCACTTAATTGCATTCAATTAACAAACCAATGCATTCAATTAACAGCTCAGCCTCCACCCTCAAACTTGAATCACTTAATTGCATTCACTTAATTTTTGAGTTAATAAATACTGAACGAATGATTTAGGATTTAGGGCAAAACAGAAGGGGAAAAGAAAAAGACACAAAAATGTAAAAAAAAAAACATATTTATACTAAAGGAACAAAATCGGCGTGTTTTGTAAACCCGGTTCGGTTTTCACGGGTTACCGATTTTTTGACCGGTTCACCGATTTTTTGATCGGTTCTTTGCTCAAATGGTCTAATTACAAAACCGGCCCGGTTAGGGGACCGGTTCACCGGGTCAACCCGCCGGGCCGGGCTGGGTCGGGTTTTAAAACACTGGTTTTAATAGTAAAACTCGATTTAAAATTAAACGTGCCAATATTATAGATTTTATTAGTTGGGTACTGAGGTATATCCCAGTTCTGCAATTTATTTTCAATATCAGAGAATTTTATCTCTTCCATATTTTTAATATAGTCATCTTTATGATTAAGTTTAAATTTAAATAGGTTTAAAGTCATAGTGGTATCTCAAAGATTTTTCTGTTGAATTATTTGTTTCACTATTACCTTTTTCAAGTTACTACTGTAATTCGTGTTCTAATTCTGTTACAGTACCGTTACTGTAACAATTGTTACAATAATCTAGAAATAATAAATTTCTCAACATCTATCGTGAGCTAAACCTGTTCTAGTGAATTTTTCCAAAATCTTATATATATGTATATATATAAAATAAAACAGGAGTGTGTTTGAATTTTGTCCCAGTTATATTTTTCCCCTCAAAACCATCATCAATCACTTACTTCACCCATCATTCTTTTATCCTACTCAAACGTCAAATCACACAACTTATTTATATCATATGTTTAATCATTTATATATTTTTTTCTTAAAAATATCATAACTCATTTTTATCATATATTTAATCATTTAATATTTGATTAATTTGTAGTTAATATATTTAAAAAAAAATTAATATAATGGGATCTATTTTTTGGATATTCGAATTTTATATTTTATTGTACCTTCAGGCACAGTTTATGACTAGTATATTTATATACCTATATATATAATATATAATATATAAATATGTTTTTATATATAAGTATAATTATGTGTGTATATATATATATATTATGAAATTATCAATATAAAAATATATTTTTTTATTAATATTTGATTTACTGTTCAAATATTTTAAATATATATTTACACCAGATTTTCCTATTTTTCAAATTGATTTTGAAATTATCTGGCCAAATAAATTTTTTATCACGTTTCGCTTTACAGCAAGGACATCGACAGAAGCGAAAACCAATTGTGTGTTCGTGTGTGTGTGTGAGAGAGAGAGAGAGAGAGAGAGAGAGAGANCGGTTCTTTGCTCAAATGGTCTAATTACAAAACCGGCCCGGTTAGGGGACCGGTTCACCGGGTCAACCCGCCGGGCCGGGCTGGGTCGGGTTTTAAAACACTGGTTTTAATAGTAAAACTCGATTTAAAATTAAACGTGCCAATATTATAGATTTTATTAGTTGGGTACTGAGGTATATCCCAGTTCTGCAATTTATTTTCAATATCAGAGAATTTTATCTCTTCCATATTTTTAATATAGTCATCTTTATGATTAAGTTTAAATTTAAATAGGTTTAAAGTCATAGTGGTATCTCAAAGATTTTTCTGTTGAATTATTTGTTTCACTATTACCTTTTTCAAGTTACTACTGTAATTCGTGTTCTAATTCTGTTACAGTACCGTTACTGTAACAATTGTTACAATAATCTAGAAATAATAAATTTCTCAACATCTATCGTGAGCTAAACCTGTTCTAGTGAATTTTTCCAAAATCTTATATATATGTATATATATAAAATAAAACAGGAGTGTGTTTGAATTTTGTCCCAGTTATATTTTTCCCCTCAAAACCATCATCAATCACTTACTTCACCCATCATTCTTTTATCCTACTCAAACGTCAAATCACACAACTTATTTATATCATATGTTTAATCATTTATATATTTTTTTCTTAAAAATATCATAACTCATTTTTATCATATATTTAATCATTTAATATTTGATTAATTTGTAGTTAATATATTTAAAAAAAAATTAATATAATGGGATCTATTTTTTGGATNGTTCCAAATATTCTTTATTCATTTAGATTGGTCTAATCTTAGTTGGAATGTCTTTTTCATTAAATTCTTTTATATAGGGAAGAGTCACAACATGTTTCTTCCTATTCCAAAAAGCAGTAGGAAGGGTATCACAAATTTCTCTACTTATCTTATTTTCAATTTCTTGTACCTTTCTTTTAGTTTCAGGAAAGGTAAGCTTAGCTGCTAAGCTCAAGATTTTTATATCTTGTTTTAGAAAATTTAATTAATTTTTTTTATAAATCAGATTTTCTTTTATTTGATTTATTAACTTTATTCGAGGTAGAGTTATAAACTCAAATAATATCTATTGACCATTTATGGTAGTCAAAATACCTTTCGAATCAATTCTTTCTATAAGTTCAATTAAAGATAAAAATGGTGTTCCCAAAATCACCAATTGATTTAAATTATCAATGAGCATAAAAGTTGTAAGAATACAAATTTCTTGATTACATACAAAAATATTAGAGAATTTAAAATTTATATTTAATTTTGACTCATTAACAATACTGACTGACTTAGTAGTTTTTTCAAAATATTTAGTTGAAATTAATTTTGCCTTTATATAGTTCATATCCGTTCCACTATCAACTAGAGCAATAGTTTCGGGACTTCAATTTTATTTTTAACCGTATTGATTTCAATTAAAGTGGTTTGACCTTTAAAGTTCAAAAGTTTAGCTTTAGGACATAAAGTATTCATAACTTTATAATAGACCCTATAAACAAACACAATTATATCTGTGCCTTCTTTATAATTATAACCATAAGGTTTTATATGACATGTTAAAACATCCAAAATATTTTTATCAGTTAAAGATATAGATAGATTTGGAAAATAGTTAAAATAAAATGGACTAGTACTTAAGTTGGACTGCATAACACCCATTAAAAACTGATCAAAATTAAGACATATAGCATCTCTTAATGCTAACATAAAAGAGACATTTAATCCATAAAAAGTTAAAGGTTTTAAAGCAACCTGCACTAAATCAATATGCAAAAATTTATAATATTGATCTTGAGCCTTTAACACTTTTTGTTCAGTTAACAGTTATAAAATATCTCTATTCTGATTAAAAGGAACTGTCCTTTCAATCGTTTTAATCATAGTTTTAAAACCCGGCCCGGACACCAACCCAGAGAAGGGACCAGGTCAATGAATTTCTGGTTCAACCACTGGGTCACTGGTCGAATCGGTGATATAATAAAAAAATAAAAAATAATTATTAATGATGATAAATAGACTAAAAAATTAAAATAGTTATAAAAATAACATGTTTAATATATATTAAATCAAATAAAATTATCAAGCCTGAATCACTTAATTGCATTCAATTAACAAACCAATGCATTCAATTAACAGCTCAGCCTCCACCCTCAAACTTGAATCACTTAATTGCATTCACTTAATTTTTGAGTTAATAAATACTGAACGAATGATTTAGGATTTAGGGCAAAACAGAAGGGGAAAAGAAAAAGACACAAAAATGTAAAAAAAAAAACATATTTATACTAAAGGAACAAAATCGGCGTGTTTTGTAAACCCGGTTCGGTTTTCACGGGTTACCGATTTTTTGACCGGTTCACCGATTTTTTGATCGGTTCTTTGCTCAAATGGTCTAATTACAAAACCGGCCCGGTTAGGGGACCGGTTCACCGGGTCAACCCGCCGGGCCGGGCTGGGTCGGGTTTTAAAACACTGGTTTTAATAGTAAAACTCGATTTAAAATTAAACGTGCCAATATTATAGATTTTATTAGTTGGGTACTGAGGTATATCCCAGTTCTGCAATTTATTTTCAATATCAGAGAATTTTATCTCTTCCATATTTTTAATATAGTCATCTTTATGATTAAGTTTAAATTTAAATAGGTTTAAAGTCATAGTGGTATCTCAAAGATTTTTCTGTTGAATTATTTGTTTCACTATTACCTTTTTCAAGTTACTACTGTAATTCGTGTTCTAATTCTGTTACAGTACCGTTACTGTAACAATTGTTACAATAATCTAGAAATAATAAATTTCTCAACATCTATCGTGAGCTAAACCTGTTCTAGTGAATTTTTCCAAAATCTTATATATATGTATATATATAAAATAAAACAGGAGTGTGTTTGAATTTTGTCCCAGTTATATTTTTCCCCTCAAAACCATCATCAATCACTTACTTCACCCATCATTCTTTTATCCTACTCAAACGTCAAATCACACAACTTATTTATATCATATGTTTAATCATTTATATATTTTTTTCTTAAAAATATCATAACTCATTTTTATCATATATTTAATCATTTAATATTTGATTAATTTGTAGTTAATATATTTAAAAAAAAATTAATATAATGGGATCTATTTTTTGGATATTCGAATTTTATATTTTATTGTACCTTCAGGCACAGTTTATGACTAGTATATTTATATACCTATATATATAATATATAATATATAAATATGTTTTTATATATAAGTATAATTATGTGTGTATATATATATATATTATGAAATTATCAATATAAAAATATATTTTTTTATTAATATTTGATTTACTGTTCAAATATTTTAAATATATATTTACACCAGATTTTCCTATTTTTCAAATTGATTTTGAAATTATCTGGCCAAATAAATTTTTTATCACGTTTCGCTTTACAGCAAGGACATCGACAGAAGCGAAAACCAATTGTGTGTTCGTGTGTGTGTGTGAGAGAGAGAGAGAGAGAGAGAGAGAGAGAGACAGGGAATGACTGGTGGGAAAAAGAGTAGCGGAGGAGTAGGCACAGAGTCGGTACAGACACCACCAACTCCAGACATCGACGGCGGTGGTGATGATGGAAAGATGGGTTTTGGTGGTGGAGATGCGGAGGATATGACGGTGGCGGAGGTGGAGGCGGTGGTGGATCAGGTGGAGCATCGACAGCAGGAGGAACTGAATAATCATGAAGAAGGAAACGAAAACGAAGCTGAAGAAGAGATAGAAGACGAGGATGAGGAGGAGGAGGAGGAAAATGATAACTATAAGGGTTATGATCAGTTCGATAACATTGAAATCGAAGAAGCCGAGGCTGAAGCTGAAGGTGAGAGGCCGAAGCTTGCAGAAGGGTTTTATGAGATTGAAGCCGTACGAAAGAAAAGGGTTCGAAAGGTCAGTTTTTATTCATTACCAATTGATTCAATATACCATTTGTGTTCTTCATTTGCCAATGCTATTCAATATTTAATTGATGGTGTGGTGGGTTGTTTTCCTGATCATGATTTTGTGGGTTATTATTGTGGATTGGTGATCTTCAATGCTGCAAAAAAGGGCAGAGTGTAGTTTATGTCATGATTGTTTTATATGTTTTTCCATTTGCTTCCATTAACTGTTTGATTTTATATTTTATGTTGTTATTGAATGTTTCGTTGAAAATATCATTTGTACATTTCTGCTTATTGATTTTGTGAGTTTTGTTTGTGGATTGGCAATCTGAATGCGGCAATAACAGGGTGAAGTCCAGTATCTCATCAAATGGTGAGTCTTCTAATAAATACAGACATGTTCATTAACTTTTGATGGATGTAAATGTGTTACTGTTAATTTATTATGGTCATTTTATGTCTAATTGTTGGAAGGCGAGGCTGGCCGGAGACGGCAAACACATGGGAACCCTTGGAGAATCTGTTGTCATGTTCTGATGTCATTGATGCATTCGAGGAAAGGTTTTCCATTATTTTCCCCTAATCTTATATCTTTTTACTCATTTTTCAATGCTAAATAGTTGATTAGTGGCAGATGAAATTATTAAGACGTCCTATTTGTTATAACCACCTGGGTTTAAGAATAAGTTTTTATTTTTATATTTATTTGTCTTCTACATTTGAAGTTTGTCATCGGGGAAACGTAGACGTAAACGCAAGTATGGAGGGCCCCACACTCAAACCAAGAAGAAGCAGCAGCTGCAGCAGCAGCAGCGTTCCCCTGCGGCTGCTACTTATAGTGTACCAGCTGTGAAGGTCAGGATTATTGAGGAGCCTTTGCACTTTCCTCCTATGAATAACTCCAGCCTTACCAATGTAGGTGAGACTAGTGCCAACAATGTTGAAACAGTCAATCTAGCATATGAGAATGGGCACACTCTGGTTGCCCCACAACTTGAAGAAAGGAAAGAGCAAAATGAGCTGGATTTGAAGCTTAGTGAACTGAAAGGAACTGTGACTATCAATGAGGACCATGTGGATGAGTTTGCTGTACATTTCCAACCGGCCTTGGCCTCAGAAGGGAATGGAACTGCCAATGGACTATCAAAGATTGATGGTGTGGAACCAGTTGAAATGGGTCGCCGCACTGGAGCTAAAAGGAGGAAGTCTGGTTCTGTTAAGAGGTTTAAGCAAGATTCTGTTTCATGTGTCACAAATGAACAACAAAATGGAACAGCAAGAAGCACTAGTAGCTCATATGGTATTGCTGAACAACAAGGGATTCAGAACGTGAATTTCATGGGGAATGATTTTGGTTGCAAGAATAGATTTGGTAGTTCCAGAAATATGTTTACCATCACTGAGATTATCAAGCCTATGAGCTATTCAGCTTCTGGGTCAAACAACATTCAGGACGTCTCTGTAACCTTTTTGGCCATGAGGTTTGTGATCCAACTCAACTTTCTCTCCTGTGTATTCTTCTATTAAATTTGTGCTTCTATTTTGTTTCCATGTTACCCTAAATAGTAGAAGTTATCCTCATTGTAGAAGTCATCTGGAGCTGTCATTTAGGTGCAGTGTAATTGATTGAATACATCTTGAGAAATCCTGCAATTGAAAATTAAGGTAGCATATGAATTAACGGCTTATCTTGCACTGTTAGGTTTCCAACATAGTTTCAAGGAGATCTGCAACTCGGTTCAGCTGTAGATGAGCATGATATATTTGGATGTGGATATTTATTTAATGGAAGATTGCTTGCATTATACTTTTTGTCTCGTCTTGAAGTCAACTTGACTTGACATCTTCTAAAACTTTCTTGTTTAAGTGTGGACCATTTGTCATGTTGCTTGATATCTTCTATTTACCATGTATGCAATGGCTTCTCATGCACAGTTGCATACTTCATTCTTTGTTCTTTCTCTTTTCTACGTAGGCATTGCTTTGGAAATTTTTGTGAATAAAAGATTCAGATAATTGACAACAATTTTTATGTGTATTACTCTATCTGGGGCACCTCTCTCCAGAAAGTTCAATGCTTAAAAACATGCATTTGAAGTTCCTTTTTATCTCAGTTTTGACTGATCTTGTGATTTAATGTAATTAAACACAATGAACATAAATTTCATGGTCATATAGGGCCATAAGTGGTAGAAGGTGGTTCGTTTTTCTGTCTTGGAACATCTAGGTACTTCTTGTTGTAGTTTGTAAAGTTAATGTCCGGCATATCAGCTGTTTTTTCACCAGTTTGAATGCTTCTCTTAGACTATTTGGTTTGCATAGTTTCACCATAAAATGAAATACTTAAGGATTTGAATGCCACAACATAAGCAGTTTTAGAAGAAAAGAAAGGGCGACCAATACACAACGCTCCCTCCACTATGCGGTTTGGGGAGAATTTTGACGCAGATAAAAACCTTGGGGGAACTTAGGCGCAGCTTTAGAAGTTTTTGTGGATAAAAGTTTCCGGATGTGTGACAAATTTTTGTACGTATTTCTCAAGCAGGGAACCCCTCTCCAGAAAGTTTAGTGCTTAAAATAAGCATTTGAAGTTCTCTTTATGTCAATGTTGATTGTTTTTGTGAATTAATGTAATTACATGCAAAGGACATAAATGTTGTCGTTATGTAAGTGATGTAGATTGTATTAGCTTTGATACCAAATTGATGTAAATCGTAATAGGGAAGAATTAGGGATGAGAAGGGAAGAAAAAAGGGATGAGAAAAGAAGAAGGGGATGAGAACAGAGAGAGATATCAAGATTCAATATCAATAATCAATGATAATCAAAGTATAATCTCTCAACAAATATGTATTCCCTATATATATAAGGAGTTCACAAATCCTATATATATAAGGAGATTACAAACTCTAAAATAAATAAATAATTAAAATGACAACTAAACCTTTAAAAGTTAAAAAGAAAATACTTAAAAGATAAATATTAAAAGTATCTAAATAACTATCATAATTANGGGATCTATTTTTTGGATATTCGAATTTTATATTTTATTGTACCTTCAGGCACAGTTTATGACTAGTATATTTATATACCTATATATATAATATATAATATATAAATATGTTTTTATATATAAGTATAATTATGTGTGTATATATATATATATTATGAAATTATCAATATAAAAATATATTTTTTTATTAATATTTGATTTACTGTTCAAATATTTTAAATATATATTTACACCAGATTTTCCTATTTTTCAAATTGATTTTGAAATTATCTGGCCAAATAAATTTTTTATCACGTTTCGCTTTACAGCAAGGACATCGACAGAAGCGAAAACCAATTGTGTGTTCGTGTGTGTGTGTNATTCTTCTCCGGTTGAAAAAAATTCTCCTCCGGAGAGTCTTCAAAGTAGAAGTACCCTAAGAAAGCAGGGTGAAGATGACATAATGCCTCATCTATAATGAAAGAACCATCGACTTCTTTCTATCGACCAGGATAAATGCAAGAATCTCCATCTGTATGAACACCTATGAATAAAATAGGAGGCTTTGGAGTACCTCGATGAAGCAGCATGTCCTCCAAATAAAAATCTGAACTAATACTAACATTCAATGAAAAATTAAGTAAATAAGCATTAGATCCAAACTCAAGAATAGCAAAACAATTTTCATTAGATTTGAACAACAGGCATTCAATGGGACAAGACATCAATGACAAATGAGTAATTATAACACTCTGGTGCTGAAAATAAGAAAATATAGACTCAATTGAACACTTGACAGTAGGCAAAGAATCAAAGTTAAACACTCTCAAGTGAGGCAGAATTTAAAACAATGTCAACAATCTCAGTGGAGAAGAATCCGAAACAAAATCAGCAATCTCAAATGAAGAAGAATTCACAACAATGCCATCATGATTCAGAATAGTAGACATAGAATAATTGCCAACAGAATGTAAAATAGATAGCTCAATATGCTCAACATCTTGCATAGGAACTAACTGAATGGATTTTTCCTCAAAGTTCAATGCTTAGTGATGATTCAATTTGTGACACCGATGAGGTAGGAAACATGATAGGATCAAAAATAATCTCATCATTAGTATCAATGTTCAAACGATTGAAAGTATATTTTGAAAGATGTAAAGCATGAGGGTCCAATGGAACAGAAATATGACTATCATTATGCGGGTGTCTGACATTAGGTGAAACTGGAGACTTGTCATTATTTTCTTCTATTTGCTGACTTGCAAGAATTTTATTCAAGTGGAAAAGTTGACTTTTTAATTCAGATAATTGGTTTTTTACCTCTCTACATTCTTCACGTAATTGGCCGAGTGAATGTTTAGTATTGACAACTTCAATTTCAAAGATCTCAACCTTTTTTCCTAGCGCAGTTTGGGCTTTTGAATGGTCACTAATAACATTGAAGATTGATCCAGATTGACATTAATGATGACTTTGGGAAGTATGACATTGGTAACTGTTATGTGACTTAAGTGTCCCAGAGTAGTATTCTAGATAATCTTCATAACAAAACTCAAACTTATTATGGACTTTATGGAGATGTTTCCGTAATTTGCTGGGAACTTTGGGTCAAAACTTAACCCACCAGGCTACTGCGACAGTGACGAAATCTGATAAAAAAAAATTTTCTCATTTTTTTTTCTTTCACTGGTGAACAGTGTTTTCGGATGAACAGTACTCGTGGTGAAAGATGCTTCCTTTAGGTACCTTGGAAATCACTTCTTGTTTTAGTATTTTCACCAAGTTCCTGTCGGCATAACATTTGTTTCTTCACCATTTCTGAAGGGCATCTCTTAGACAAATTGGTTTGCATTTTTTCACCAAAAAGGAAAATTCACAATATGGTTTGGTTTGCATTGTTTCACCATAAAAGAAAATTATAACATGGTTTGGTTTGCATTGTGTCACCATAAAAGGAAATTATAACATGGTTTTTAAAAAACAGACAGTTGCGAGGGTGCGGCAATTGCTAGTGGATGGTATCGGATGTCTCCTATACTGCCATACCCGATTTTGCAGATGTTCTTTTTCAAACCTATAATGACCGTTATGGCAATGTAAAGGCTTGTAACAGGTCTGTAACGCTCATAACAGACGATACGGTCACGTCAAACTGTTACAACCTATTATGACCTGAAAGCCCTTGTGAATACACAAATTTACTTGTATAATTTTCTATATGGGTTCAGTTAATAATGCTATTGGGGCGCCAACTGGAGCAGTCTCATCTTTACCGACGACGAGAATATTGTCGCAGAAGGCTAGTTAGGCTTAAAGAGGTCCATCGACTTGCTTCTGGAGACCCCGTTGCTCATGGATTTCACTCTATGATGATCTTACGCTCTATCATTGTGGAGCTTATTGTCGGCATGAAGATTTTGTGATTTTGGACAAGATCTTGGAGGTTCTACAGTGGGTTTGGAGGGAAATACAGTGCAACGATGGCATTAAATGGTGTTGGATAGAGAGAATAAGATGGTTTAACCTATTGCTGGTCATATAAGACACTTCTTCGAAAGGTATTGTGGGGAAAGAGGGGGTGTTTAGGAAGATTAGGATTGTTGAGAAACAATTGGGGAAAGGAATGGGCGAAGAACACAATGTAGTCACTGCACACAAAAGTTTTAATTTTTCTATGCTTGTCATTATTGCTCAATAGGTGAGCATTGTTGGTACATGAAGATATTTACCTTTTTGGACAAATGAACGAGGCTTTTGCGATTTGGTGTCAGTGGTTAGCTCCATGCTTGGATTTTTGAAACATCAATATTAATCTCTTAGTTATTTTGTTGGAGTAATTAAGGTTGTATTTGGTAACCGTTTTTATTTTTTATTTTATGTTTTAAAAAATGCATTTGGTACTTGTTTTCATTTTTTTTTCCCGCCAATCTGTTTTGAAAACAAGTCTGAATTTTACAAACAAAAAAATCATGCTTTGAGAAACACCAAAACTGAAAACACGTGGGCGGCTAAGGGACCTTTAATGAGATTCACCCTTCGAATTTTGTTGGGAACACAAATCTGTGCCTTTTTATTGGGAAAAGTAGGAAACCCTCATTTATCGTCTCTCTCGTGTCTCTGCCTCTCCGTCTGCTAGGGTCGAAGGCTACGAAGCTTTGTTCCTCTACAAAGCTCTCCCCTCTCTCTGAAGCTCAGCTTAACCCCTCTCTCTCTCCATCTTTCTCCCTCAAAGGTAAGTAATAGAACCTTTATAGTATATATATACACACACATACATATATACCTGTGTGTGTGCGTGCATTTGTGTGTGTGTGTATGTTATGCAAGTGTTTGTGTTGTGTGTGTGCAAGTGACTGTGTGTGTTGATAAGATCCAAGTTGATTGGTGAACCCATTGTAGATATGAACAAGGGATAAGGAATTTTGATGTGTTTTTTTATCAAGAATTAATATAAACCTACAACATATGATTGAACTTAAAGTGAGTATTAAATATATTTTTTGTTTTTATGTTTAGAGTTTCTTAAATAAAAATTGAAAGCAAACAAGTTTTCAGTTTCAACTTTTTACCACAGGAAAAAAAAAAAAACATTATCAAACACACCTTAAGTAATTAAACATATTCCCCCCTTTAATAATATACTTTTTAACATTCTCCTATAATTTTGAGAATGTGGTGGGAATCTACCATTTCCGTGCATAAAAATAGTATATAAATAATCCACAACATCTTTTATAATGAGTGAGCATCATACATCTCCCCCCCCCCCCCCCCCCCCAAAAAAAAAAAAAAAAAAACTCTTAATACTAATATTTGATACAATAAAATGCATTAAAACTCATTAAATATTCCTATTTACATGATTTTAGGGATTATATATGCAAACATTCCTTTTTAAAGGGAGGTGTGAGTTAAAAAAAATTTAAGCCTCTGGTTATGTAAAGCCCATTATATCCTGCATCCATTGCGCTGTTACCATTATCGTTCTGGTGGCCGACACCGCTATTTATAACTATGATTCACTAGGATTTGAAGGCTACAGCATATGATGTTTTAGAAGTATGTTGAAAAAGAGAAATTTGTTTTTGTCTAGGAACCTAAAATCTTGACAGGGAAAGAAAACTTTGTAGATGGAACAGATTTAAAGATAGCTAGCATATAAGAATACTAATGGGAAAGGATAAGATTCTAAGAGATAGCTGGCATCAATGCTTGGGGCGCTGAAGGAAATACTGGAATCAAATTACCATATTTAGGGGTAAACTTGGATTTCAATTTGTCGGAAATGTATAAAGTTTATTTCTTCTTTCATTCCTTCTTTCTTCTTCTTTAAGAAAAATTATCTTTTTGGAAAAGCCTTTTTTGGGTATTAGCTATAAGATTTAAGTATGCATATCAAAAGGCATAAATGTGTGGCATAATTTTTTTTTTTTATGGTTGCTGCTGTTATCATTATCATTACGTGCATCCATGGTATTCTATGTAAGACAGCATTTTGCGTGCTTCTGAAGGAGTGGGCTCTTACGAACCTGGGAGAAGCTTTTATGCCACACTTTGAGAATACACTTGGAGATGGTAGCGAAACTTCTGTTTGGTTGTGCTTTGTGGAACTCTATGTAAAGTTATGGAAAGAATAGGATTATCTTGGTCTCTTTAGGGTGCAACTTGGGCGCATTGAGGAGTGCACCAGGCTCAACACAAGATCTATAACCCTCAATCGGAGCTCAACCCAAACTCGAATTTCAATTACAGACTTTCAATGCTAGTGTTGCCTGTATTTATATTTTAAACTTGGATTGAACTCACGGTAAAACCGAGTTCATTGTACCACCACCACATCACAACCACAACATCTCGCCGCCATTGCTGCACTAACACCGTCACCCAGTTCATCCAAATCCTCCATCACCAACAAGAGTCAACCAAACCAATGCCCATGGAATCACCTCTCTACCACAACCATCTCCTCCACAAAGTGAGGTCATCTATGTATGTGAGGGGAGAAGAAAGGGGAGAGCCCCAAATGGAATCTTAGCCAGCCTCACTCGCTATATTTACTACAAAAGATAAGGTGGAGATTTCTCTCAAACGTTGAGAAAGGGGATAGAAGAGAATAAAATGCGGAGGGAGAGGATGGCTTGCGAGAGAAGAGAGAAGAAAATAGGGAGGGAAAGGATGGCATGCAAGAGAAGAGAGAAAGTCAGAAAATGGGATTAGATGGGGTTGAAATTTTTCTAGACAATCTCATCCCTATTGTAAGTCTCTGACTCTATCCAAATATTGAATTTTTTGGAGCGGTTCGGCTTAACCCGCCAAAGTTACGCCCCTAGTCTCCGAGCATGGTGATCATGGAGAATTGGAGATAGTTCAGCCTGTGGAAGTTGCTTGTATTTGTATTTATGTTGTCTTCTTTTCCTCAATTTATACGTTTTTAGCCCTGTTGATTTACTTATTTATTGCCTCCATGATGCCATCTATAGTTTTTAATGAATAGTTGGTGATATGATTTCCATATCATTAGAGAATAATGGAGGAGAATAACTTTTGCATACCTCTCTGTTTATGTATTTTGAGGTGAATAGTAAAATCAACATGATTTATTGTGTGAATGACTTCTTATAATTGTTTCTATCTGTGCATGGTGAATAATTGGCCACATCATTAATAACCTCCAAAACCAAGTTCTTATACCTGTACTCTCGATTTCATTGCATACGGTATATTATAGTGGACTTGCTATTAAGAGTCATTGGTACAAAAATTTTAGATCAATATATGTTGTGATCTATAGATCTTGCATTTATAAGCCTCTTGCCATCCTAAAGTAAGTCTTCATTTATTCTGTTAAAAACATCGTGGAGGCAAGGAAATCAGTTGATTGATGAACCTAATGAGGCTGATTGTACATATGTACTCACATAGGCCAGTGGGTGGTGCTTAGACACCATTTTTGGTCATATGCACCTGCTTAGCACAAGTGAATACTATGTGTTTTCTTGTGGTGATAATGGTTTAGGTTTACAGCATAAATAGTGACACTGTGATGCTATATTTTGGGGATGTGTGTGTGTGTGTGTGTGAGAGATAGAGAGAGAGAATTCATCTCAAAGTCTTTCTTTAAGGTCAGTAAATTTTCTCCTTCGAAAGGGTTGGTAAGGGCCATAAGGCCTTGAGTAATTTATTTAGTTTTTAACAACCTCGCAGAACTACCTTCTCAATTTTGTCAAACACCACCAGCCCATACAATCTGACTCAACGTGCTAGAACACACGTTGAAACTTGGTGTTGAAATTGTTGCTGCTACAGACTCCATCAATCACCACCACTCCATCCTCGTACCAAACTTCATCTCCATCTCCCCGCCTTCATCTCTCTTCCATTACTTACGATGGATCTCTCTCTCTCTCTCTCTCTCACACACACACACACTCTTGTTGCCTGCATGGGATGCATTTGCGCACGTACGGTTGTCTCTATTCCATTAATTACTACGAGTAAAGCCCTCATTTCCATTTCCAGACGCAATGACCACTCTGGTCACTGTATAACCTTCATAAAGCACCTTCTTAGAGAAAATGAAATCACCGCCACAATTAGTATTACTTTCTAAAAATGTCAAACACATGATCTCGTTATAGAAAATTTCAAATTGAATGAAGTATTCTGAGTTACCTAGAAACATTTGAGACTCATAAATGACAACTATATAATTTTCAGTCCTCCTATAAACCTAGAACTCTGGATGAATAGCCATCTTTGTCACTTTTATCCATAACGTGCAGAACGCGAGAAAAAATTACTATGATTGATAGTTGAATAGGTTTTGTGGTCTTTAATGCTAGGTCGTCGGTTGTGGGCTATAGGTCGGCTTTGAGGTTGTCGAAATGTGTATTGTAGTTTGTATCTTTTTTTAAACTGAGGTATTGTGTATTAGAATGTATCGTATATTGTAAGGCATGCTAAATATTTTTAATCATGTTTAGTAGTTTGAAAACAATAAAAATACTATTTAAACTTAACTTCAATACAAGATTAAAAAAGAGACTAAGTTTTAAAACATGACTTATTAATTCTAGTTTACAACATAATTCATTAATATTAAAATTTAATGATTCGCAAAATCCAACAAAATCCATTTTTAAAATTATACACTAATACAAAATGTGTAGTTCTACTCCTATAACAAAACGCATCGTACGTATCGCAATGTGTATCGTAAGATACTACCAACCATGGTTGGGTTCTATTCAATATTGTGATCTTTGAATATTGTTTTTTGTTCTTGTTATGTTAGTCATGAATTCTCACTTGTGGAAAAAGTTGGTGGTCATGGTGATGGTTGTCTTAAATTTGAGGGTTTCAAGTTGATGGGTGATGACATTAAGAGAGACGTGGTCTAGGTGGATAATTAAAGAAAGGTCCTGATCACATTTTAAAGTACTATGAAAAATTACTTTTATAATACTTAATTCAACAAAGTTTTTTTCAGGTTAGTTGGGGTTGATCACATGAATGTTATTCTGTCATTGGACCCACAATAGGTCCTTGTTTTTATTAAATCGAAAGCTATAATTTCTTTAATTTCTCAATCCATTATATTTTTTTTTTGTTGTTTAAAACTGATATTAGGGTTAATAGGGGTCTGACGAATTTGTTCTCACCAGTGTTGTTAGAAGTTTTCTTTGCATATTTGTAAACCACTTTGATCAATTCTCTTAGTCTATTGCTTATCAATAGTTGAATAATTTCATTACTAATTTTATAATTCATCTTAATATCCACTTTTCGGTCACATTATTTGAACTTTTTTTTTTAGTTGCACAACACCCTGACTCATACAACATGATTGGGCTCGTAGGCCTTACTTGCCACATTTGCTAGCCCATTGGCCTTAGTGGGGCTCAAACCCTTCCCATTTCCGGTGGGAGGATTGGGAATACCATTAAGCAACAATGGCTTGTGGTAAAATTATAATCTTTGCTAATGCTCTTTGTTCGTCCAAAAATTTTGATGGGGTATTTTGGAGGCTGTCATCAAGTGCCTGAACATAAATATATTTTAGGTAATAATTGTGTAATAGATGCAGGATATGACTAGGTGTAAATAAGCAAAATAAGTTGAATAAATATTTCTAATATTGAAGTCTTCGTAAGGCAAAACACATGGTAATGTTATTCTTGTGACTAATCAAATTATCATCGGCAAAATGATGTCTAATGCTAAAATAGTACAACTTTAAGTTTGTCAAGATTTGATTATATGTTGTTTAGCACAAAGGGTAAAATTATATAGTGCAAAAAGCTTTTTTGACTTCCAGGTATGAAATTTGTTAAGTTTAGAGAATGGAAAGACAAAACAAGAATCAGAGAGAGGAAGAGAGTAGTGTATCTTGACCTACCTCTCACTCTCAACTTATATTTAGTATATCATTATAAAGGTATACTTATTACAACCCTATATAATAGAAATAATATAATACTCATTTTCGCAGTATTCTCCCTCAAGCTGGAGTATATATACTATATAATCCAAGTTTAGAACAAATTACTGTAAGACGAATACGATTCAATGCTTTGGTGAACATATCTACAAGTTAATAATCAGATTTCACAAATGGTGTTGCAATGTCTCAATTTAGTATCTTGTCTCGAATAAAGTGATACTCAATTTTGATATGTTTGGTCCTCTCGTGGAATACAGGATTAGCAACAATGCGAAGGTGTGCCTGAATGTCACAAAACAATTGCAAGGGACGTTGGATTGAAAAGCCAATCTCTTGAAGAAAGTGTCATAGTCATGTCAACTCACTAGTCGTATGTGTCATAGTCCTATATTCAGCCTCAACATTGGACCGTGCTACCAATGTTTGTTTCTTACTTTTTCATAAAACCACGTTACCTCCCAAGAAAGTACAAAATCCAGTAGTTAATCTTCATTTTGGGGGAGAGTTAGCAATCAGTATCTATAAAGCCTTCCACTCTAAGGTGTCCATTGGCTCGATATAACAATCCAAGTTCAGGAGCGCGTTTAAGATATCAAAGAATATGGATGATTGCATTCCAATGTGTTATTCTAGCGCATCCCATAAACTGGTCAGAACACTAATTGCATATGCAATATTTGGTTGAATAATATTGAGATAATTTAGCTTCCCAACTAATGTACGATACCGACCCAAATTTTCAAATAATGCACCATCTTTTATCAACAACTTTTGGTTCAGATCCATAGGGTCGTCAATTGGTCTACCACTCAGTAAACTTGTTTTTTCTGACATGTCAAGTACATATTTTCTCTGAGACAAACAAATGCCCTACTTTGATCTGACAACTACAATACCCAAAAAATACCTGAGTTTGCCTAGTTCTTTAGTATGAAATCGATCCTGCAAGAAGACCCTCAACTTTGCAATGCCCTCAGAATCATCACCTGTAACTACAATGCCATTCACATAAACAATCAATATAATGTACCTAAAATTAGTATGTCTGTGGAAAATAGAATAGTTTGTTTGACATTTCAGAATACTAAACTCTAAAACTACTTCTGAAAACTTACTAAATCACGCCCTCTGTTATTACTTTAAACCGTACAACGTTTAAAGTTAGCCAACAAACAATCTTATAATACTCCCCTTGAGCAGTAAACCTAGCTGGCTACTCTATGTTCCATGTACACTTCCTCAGGTTATTGTTTAAGAAGGCATTTTGTACATCTAATTGAAACAAAGACTAATGAAGATTAGCAGTCAAAAAAATCAATATTTGAACAGAAGAAATTTTGGCAACAAGAGAAATGTTTCTAAATAATCAATGTCATAGGTTTTGGTGAAACCCTTAGCAACAAGGAGGGCTCACTCAAAGGCCAAAAATGTACTCCAGCAAGTTCAATTATTACTTGAGACGTTGTAACTATCAATTGTCTGCCCCTACAACAGGTTGTGAATTCTACTATTGTCAATTATGATGCGTGATGTTCCATCACCTCTTTCAAATTCTAGTCAAACATTTACATGTTTGTATAAAGTCTAATCAGGTTCCTTAGAGTCGAAAATAAGCTTGCTGAACCTTATAGTTTCCTCTGAGTTGCGGGATTAAACCTTGCCTTGCTCTTTCTTATTGATTTTTACCGCTTTACAGAAAAGGTTTATAGCCTAAAGAACCTGAGTGTCAATGGTGTGGCATGCGTACTTGATCGACGGCATGACCCTTTCTGTTTCTGCGCTGGCATATTGGAGTTGTCTCCCTTCCTTTTCACAACTTATTTATTAAATAAAACGTTTTAGATGTAATTCTGAAGGTTTTTATGTCTTTAAAATTCGTTCGAGTTTTTTCTGCTTATGGTAATTTATTTCTTTTTATTTTATATCTATATGTTGATATATTAGATTTTCTAATGTGTGATGAGCTGTCACCTTTTTCAAGTTCAAGTTCAAGTTCCAATCAACCAGTTACATGATTATGAAAGCTTACCACAGCACATTTGTTAAGTACATCATTTTAGATGCAGTCTTGTGGATTTTAATATTTTTAAAGTTTTTCTATTTCTATCTGACATGTCCACACTTGGATTGTGTAAAACTTATGGTCAGCTTCTCATTAAATGTACGAATATCTCAATCATCTCCATGGAAAAGAATAACTCAGCTCTAATATATTAAATTTCATATAATTTGTCAAGCAGTAGTATGCTTCAGCAGTAGTTATGGTTTGCTTCGGGGTATATGATTATGGATGGACTTCTTTTTTCTTTTCTTTTTTCGTTTTTTTAAGTTCACCAGATATTGTGGTTAAGTGTTGACTCTAATGCCTCTAATTTGCCTAGTATGTGGACCTGTTGAAGGCCACTCCTCAACATAGAACTAACTAATAAATGATATTGAGTGACATCTAGTGAACTGCTCAGCCATTATTTTTTGTGAAATATTGCCAACTTTTATGTCAAAGGAAATTGATTTTTTTCTAACCACAAGTAGAGTTTTTAGAAGTTCGTTAGGCTTAATTGTGAATTTGATGTAATTGCCTGTACCTAGGTCTGACGGAAGAGAGATGATCGTGGATAACAAATTTCTCAAAGCTCACAATCCCCTCCTGGTAAACCTCTTTTCTCTCTTGAAGTTGTGACTTCCTTCTTCCTCTTCCACATTGTTGCAACTTCGGAATTTTGTCACATACTATTTTTGATATTATGCATATTTTTCTTATTATGTCTCCAATCATGGCAGTTGATCAATTATTATGAGCAGCATCTTCGGTATAGTCCAACATAATGAGTAGACAGCCATAGATGGAGAGTGGATGTAGCTGGATCAGCCTAATTTTCTCCATATGGTGGTGTAATTTTGTAGGAGACTGTCATGCAGGCTAACCAATGCAAACTTTCTTAGGATGGGTGGTAAATAGTGCAATGTTGACTTGTATATTAGTTGGTTGTTCATTTTTCTTGTTTTCTTGTGGTTAGCTTTTGAATACTTATAAATCTAATTACTTCGTAATGGATTTGGTTCTGATATTAACATGGGATATCGTATACCTATGGGTACACACTCTTTGATGGTGGTACATCGTGTGAGTGCATGTATGGGTCTATGCAAGCATCTTTATTCTGTCCTTTATTACCTATATATCCCATGGTGGTTCTCAATTATTGAGCTGTCAATTTTCTTGAAAATTAATTGATTTCTATTTCAAATGTCCTTAAGAGTTTATTGTGTGGCGGGACTCTTGTGCATTGCACTGCGCTTATAAGATGGCCAATTCTTTTAACAAGTCTAGTTCTCAGTTGTCTGATCATGTTAAAAGTTTTGTGAAACGATGTTATTTTCTTACTAACATTTGCAAACTTGTCGTATTTCTTACCTCTTTTTATTGTTCTTATTGTTCCCAGGTAATGCTTCTATGTATAGAGTCTCACTATCACTTTTTCTTTTTCGAATGTCAAGTTTTTTTTCTTTTTGTGTTTGTAAACTCAGTGGAAAGTGCAGTTAATTCATTTCATTGGCTGTGGCAAATTTGCTCTTTTCTATTGATCGGCTTGATATAACTATTTCTTTTATTTATTTATTTATTGAAAATGGCCCTTATCTTGCTTAGTGACAAGTGATCCAATAGGTCTAAGCTATTTCTTGGAAGTACCATAGATTTTACCTAGAAGACAAACTTTCACTTTCTTAATATTGTTGTGTAATTATTTCTTAATATTGTTGTGTGTAATTACTTGCCCATAATTTAGTAGTCTTCTTGTCATTGTAAATAGCACTTTCACCTTGAAGGCATCGAAAGATTCGAAACCAAGTTGGTATCATTTTTGAAATTTCCAAATGATACAAACGTTTCGTTCTTATATATAAACAGGTCAATTTATATTCTCTCTGTTGAGTTTATCTTCTTGTTTTTTTTGTTAACTGAAGAATAGATGATATGTATTTAGGTGAAGGAGGTTGCTATGTATGGACCTATCTCATTTACAGAGAAGTATCAGATTGCCTTAGCACTGTCATCTACACTAAACAGGCACTTTCTGTTGCAATTTTTTCTCAACTCGTGTGGCTTCTGTTCTTGCAACCACATATGGGGAGCAGAGGGCCATCACCTCTGGTTCCTTCTCTAATGTTGGGGGCTCTTAGTCTGGTTATCTTTGGCGGTACCAGACAGTACTTAGTGGAATGGGTGCTGCCGCTGATGTTTCAGTCAGGATTGGAAGAAGCTACTGGCGTGGCTTCTTTCATGACGTTGCTTCTTCCCATCTCAATGCTACTGATGATTCACTTGCTCACCAAATTCTTCCCTGGGCGAAACGTTTCTTCTGCTGTAAATCAGCAAAGCAGTAGCTCTGCTTATGATGCTGAGGGGTTTGGGCTAGGATCTTTGCTTCTAGTTGTGCTTTTCTTTGTCCTGTACAATCTTTGGTGAGATTCTACTGCTGCTGCAACTATATGCATGTGGTGCAGTTGTGTTTAAAGAAATTTTTTAATAAAACACGAGTTAATGCAGAGTTGCTGTTAAACTAATTGATCCAAAACGATGTTGTTTTGTTAAATAGAACGACATCGTTATGCAGTAGAGGAGCTGGACCCGAGACAACTGATTGGTTTGTATACCTCTCTTTTATAACTATTTTGTATTCCTCTAGGATCAAGGTCTTTGTTTAGGACCGTTCTGCGGGAAGCTCATTCAGTTCTGATAATAACCCATCCACGGATTGCAATCGGAACTCCTGGTGGTGGTATAACGGAATAACACTGGACTTGTCGAGGTGGCCTCCAGCTTCGTCACTTTCTTGTCTCGTACCCTCTAATATCCAATCTGAACTGCACTTCTGTTTTGTCCTGAGTCACTATGTTTCCCTCCTGGAACCCAAGTACGGTGACTGGAATTACAGACCCACCCCATTATGTCGACACCAACCTCCATGGAGAGTGACATTGGGGTGGTGCAGAAGTGGGTTTTGGACAGTTGTAGTACTTGGAGAGGAAAGATTTTGTTTATCTCTTTTGATCTCAAAGTTGTTACCGTTCCATTACCTGTTATCCTAATGTCCTATATGATTGCGGGGTTGTTTGAAAATCTTGACACATTTCCTAAAGCCACGCCCCTACTGTTGGTGCCCTTTGATCCCATTCCGCTCGGGGTTTATTCCCTTCGCTCGCAGCCCACTTGAACAATCAACCGATAGATTTCTCATAGAATGAAGATCTAACTTGACTCTAAGGACAAGGCAACTCAAAATGGGTGTTAGGTTTGAGTTTGGAGGGTTTGGGGGTGGAGAGAGGGAGAAGGAAGGAGGAAGATTTGGAGGAGTGTAGAGAGGTATAGGTGAGAGATTTTAGGTGTAGTATGGCTTGAGTGGGGTGAGGAAGGGAGTGGGTTTGTAGAGGTGTGTTTTGGACGCAACAATGGAGGAAATTGAGGCAATGGAGTCATGGCTGTGTGATTGGAACTGTGAGAGAGAGAGAGAGAGAGAGAGAGAGAGAGAGAGAGAGAGAGAG